CCAGTGGCTTTTAAACCCCAAAATACATTAAAGACTGGTTCATCCCAAAGATCCAGTCCCCCAGCCCAAACAGAGTAATGTTGTGTATGCTGTTCAGTGTCAGGAGGGTGATCAGTCTTACATCAAGGAAACTAAACAGCCACTGGCCAAAAGGATGGCCCAGCACAGAAGATCAACATCATCAGGCCAGGACTCTGCGGTCTACACTCATCTCCAGGCCAGTGGTCACTCTTTCAGGGATGAAGATGTTCACATCCTGGACAGAGAGGAACGATGGTTTGAGAGAGCAGTAAAGGAGGCCATCTTTGTGAAAAGAAATCGTCCGTCGTTAAACAGGGGCGGAGCCTCTGGGTTCAACTGTCCCCCTCTTACAATGCTGTGATTGCTAGTATCACTCAGCCCTCTGTGAACAGTAAACAGCCATCAGGTGCTAATGATCCTTTGTTAGGCTGATGGTCCTTCTTGAGCATGTGATCAGCTGGTTTTGGTTGTCAGCAGCAAAACTGGTTGATCCACTCTGAGAAGGTGCTATTTAAGAGACTGAGCTGAAAACAGCACCTCAGACTGAGGAAGTCTCTTGGATGAGAGACGAAACATTTCTAGATTTTTTGCTTTGTTTTGTTTTTTGGTCTTTTGAATGTCCAGAGGACCAAATCGAACTTTTTTGGATCAAACTATAATAGTTTAAATATTGCATTTGTTGGTTTTAAAATACTTGAAGGGACATTTTCCAAATCTGTGAAAGTGACTCATCTGACCACCCTGAAATAGAGACGCTTTTTTTTAAATCATAGAAGTAAAACTACAGGTTGATTTTGGGGATTTTTAGATATGGTGGACAGACACATCTAAAAAAAATGTTTTAGTCAATCACTTCAGAAAGTGAAACTCAAATATTACATAGATTCATTACACAGGTTGAAATATTCCAAGACTTTATTTCTTGTAAATTTGATGATTATGGCTTACAAATAATGAAAAAACAAATTTTAGTGTCTCAGAAAATTAGAATATTGTGAAGAGGTTCAATGTTGGAAACTCCTGGTGTCACACCCTGATCAGCTAATTAGACCTAAACATGGGCTACACATGTCTCCTTCCTCAAGTCGAGCCACTCCTGAACCAGACAACTTCAGAAACATCTTACCTGCTGAGGAGACAAAGAACTGGACTGTTGCTCAGTGGTCCAACGTCCTCTGTCCACATGTAAAATTTCACGTCACTTGGAAATCAAGGTCCGAGAGTCTGGAGGAACAGTGGAGAGGCCCAGAATCCATGTTGTGTGTCTCTGTGTTTTCTGAAGTCCTCAGTCCATGCAGCATCTAGCAGGACATTTTAGAGACTTCATGCTTCCTTCTGTTGACGAGCTTTATGGAGATTCATTCATTCAACCTTTATTTAGACGGTAAATCCCACTGAGCCTCGAGGACTCATTTACAAGAGAGACCTGATTAGAGATGCTGGTTTCATTTTCCAGCAGGACTTGGCTCCTGCTCACATGTACCAAAAGTTGGCTGTGGAATTTTCTAACTTTCTGAGGCACTGAATTTTAGTTTTTCATTATTTATGAGCCATAATCATCAAAATTACAAGAAATAAAGGCTTGAAACATTTCACTCTGCATGTAATGAATTTACGTAATGTATGAGTTTCACTTTCTAAATTGACTGAAAAAAAAGAGTGATAGTCTAAATTTCTGAGATACGCCTGATCATGTTAATTATTCTCAGGAACATCTTGTCTTTACTGATTTTTAATGGTGCACAGTGCCATTTAAACACCTCACACCAGCTTGTAATCCATCAGTTGCACTATTACAGGGAAGTTATATAATATTCATATATACAGTATCTGCAGTATTTAAATAATAATAAAATACTGTTATTTTTTTCTCCTAAGCATGGCATCTGTAGGACATTTGACACACAAAAATAGTATATGAAAACTAAACCTTTAGTTTTTAACTTCTGAGACTGTGTGATTTCAACTATCGAGTTACGGTATTTTTTTTTCTGACCTTAAGGCGCAGCAGATTATAAAGCGCAAAATCAATGAACGGGTCTGTTTTTATACATAAGGCGCACTGGATTATAAGGCTCACTGTTGATTTTTGAGAAAATTAAAGGATTTTAGGTGCGCCTTATAGTCTGAAAAATGCGGTAAAGTAAATAAACATCTGAGAAAATTAATCCAGTACAGTTAAGAACAAGTTCATAAATACATCAGACTCATGGCTTTTTTGTTATATCTTTTATTATCTTGTTTATTTTGTATATATTTTCTTAAGCAAATAAAGCAAAGCTTTTAAAATAAAATAATATTCCGAACATAACACAAATTGTGTAAAATTACCCACAGGTGGATTTTTCCTCGATGATTTAGTTTTTCTTTCTGTGTGTGATATATTACAATCTTTGCAGAGGAATATATATGACTCTGTTAAAAGTAATACTTTATTATGTTGCTTCCAAAAATTGTAATATTGTAACTTAAACCGCACAAACCATGAAAGCAATCAGAGAGCATATAAAATACATGCAATGATAAAGAGTCAATTTCAATATTCTTTTTTTAATGCTGTTGCCCATGTCTTAGTAGCATGTTTTTGTTGTAGATAAAAATATACATTTTCTGTTTTGTGTTTGAAATCTCTAGATACAGTAGATTTCTATTTATAGAGTGCTAAATATGTCTTGGATGATCATTTTTAACTATCAGGCCTTTTGTTTTTAATTTTGGCAGACTGTCAGTGTGTAAATATTGTTTAATGTTAAATCTAGAAATATGGTTCAAAAAGTATTTACTGTATGCCTGTTCTTTGTGTTCTGTTGGAAGGTGAGGCTGGATCAATAAAGTTTTGGTCATTTGCCCTGAATATAGTACCTATTTGGCATTACCGACTTTATTCTTGGTCTGGAATTTAAAATAGATAAATTGTTAGGATAGCTCAGGCAGACATATTATGATATTATATAAAATAACATATTAAATTATTTATTCAACTAACAAATGTAATAAAATATATTATATAGTTTATGATTTTATTAATCTATGCAAACTCCAAACATTGTGGTGTCACAAATAAATTGTATTTACAATCAAACAAACAAAAAAAACTAACTAAATAATTTTTAAAAAGCTATATATCTTGCCAGATTTAGTTCAGCTTTTACAAACGTAAGTGCATTATATGGTCTCTCTAAATTGAATCACAGCTGATGTAAAATTCTTATAAACGTGTTTCCAAAATGAATTTGGTAAAGGATCTACAAAATGATTAAATAAATGGTGCAAGAAGAAAAAAAATCAGCTTATGTTGGTCTATTAAACACCCTCAGTGCATCCTTTATATGAAGAATGGCAGATTCTTAAGTTCAGCCTCCCTTTACATCGACTGTCTTTTCATTGGCTAATGTCCAATGGCATTTCTCCAAGGGATGGAGGGCTTCTCCTACAGCATATATGTTGAGTAAACCTGATAAGGGAGTATCAAAATTGATACTTCTATATAGACTTATTCTTTGAGATTTAAGTATGCTTACTCAAATTGAACCTGCTGCTTGAAGGAGCATTAGTGTTGTCATGATTTCCTTGTGGTCTATACACTAGTCTGGTATTGGCAGCAGTGTGCACTCAATACCAGTAAGTGGTCTGGGAAGTTGGGAGATTTCCCTCCAATGATCTTTCTTTGTATCGTACTCCATCACACTCCTAACAACCAATTCATGTCCATCGCTCCACCTTCGACCTCCAAAAACCAGCAGGTTTCCAGAGGCCATTGGGACCATTCCATAATTGAAGGAGCCAGTGATAAGTGGCTTGAGGCGCATCCAGTGGTCTGACTGTGGATCATATCGTTCAATATCGCTGAAAGGTTCATACATACCCAACAGGGCATAAATGTAACCATGGGCACTTGCCAAGCGATGACTGAATCTGGCGACAGACATGGGTGCCCTCTTTTCCCAGACTCGACCTTTGAGATCCCAGAAAAGGAATTGTCTGCTCATTCTCCTGTAGTCATGCTGGTTGTCACTATAGTTACTGCCATGGATGATGCCCTGCTGGCCTGGTAGTCCACCGGAGACATAGATGCTGTTGTCAAGCACAGCAGAGGCATGGCCATGAAGAGGTTGAGGCATTGCCGCACTTCTCCTCCACAATCCTGCAGCCATGTCATAATACTCGACAGAAGCTACAGAAATGTATGTGTTGATGTTTGATTGTGTGTATCGTCCCCCAATGGCGTAAATAACATCCTCCACTGTGCAGCAGGTGAAGTGTGCCCGTTTCTCTTGCATGGATTCCATCTGCTCCCAGAGGTCAAAGCGTGGATCGTACCTCCACACACGGTTGGATGTTGCCACAGTAACAGACGTTTTCTCATCTCCCTTTTGTATCTCATCTCCTCCAATCACAAAAAGGAAACCTCCCACTGAACACACACATGGATTTCTCAGTCGCACCGGTAAAACACAACATGAAGATGAAAACTTTCTGCTTCTAGAATCAAACACTAGTACCTGCTGTTCTGGCAAATCAGCACTGCACCCACCACCCAAAAGCAGCACATGATTGACTGACTCTCTGAGAGTCGACTGCTTGTTCTGTGTTATTGGCTGAGCTGGACCTAGCTGATGGTACTCCAGTGCCCGGGTCAGTTGACTTCTGATCAAAGGAGTGGTCATGGCTTTATGGGCGTGGCTGAGGTTTGTAAGGTCTGACGATGCCACCAATCCAAAGCGCAAGTGACTCAGCAGAAGATTTGATTTTAGGAGTGGGAGAGGTCCATTTTCATCCAGCCAGTCCAAAGCTAGCTTTAAAAGCTCCACCTCCTTGACCCCTGGTATTTCATCTCCATCAAGCACTGCCATCAGTGATTCAAAGTTCAACTCAAGGAGCTCATCCCTTCTTTTCTGAACCAGTACCTTCATCTCCATGGCAATGGTTTGATTGGCAGTCTCAAGTGCATTTGAGAGAGCAAAGCGCTCAGCCAGATTAGCATAGTAGCAGCAGTTTTCAGCTCTTAAACTTTCTGTCATGAATCGCTCACAAATTGACAAGGCCATTTCTACCTGCAGGTACCTGGCTGCTTCCAAAACAACAGGAAGGGTAGAGGGTGATATGCTAAGCCAGCCTGAGTACAAGAAGTCCAGCATGGTCTTTAGGCCCACAGGTGTCAACGCTGGAAGATTAATGGAGCTTGCCAATCTCTCAGCAGTTTTCTCTCCAAAAAGGGCCCAAAAATAGTCACTAGAGCTGGCTAAAAGAGCACGATGACATGGGAAAGAGACACCCCCAGCCTCCAAGACAACATCACACATCTTCTTCTGATCACGCAAGCGCTGAAGACCAGAGAGGAGTCCAGTTCTGTAGGAGGAACTGTAGAGAAGCGAGTAGGTATCCATACAAAAATAAAGATGGAAAGCAAGAAGAGGCAGAAAACACAAAGTTGAATAAAGGTGAAACAATGAGGGAAAGTTTAAATTAACTCTTCTCCAGCAGAAGCATAAAGGCAGCTGAGAAAAAGTGCTAAAAGGAGAAAACTGGAAAAGTGGCACATGGGTGCAATCAGAAAAGTTATTGTTGACCAGTTGCATGAAGAATAATGGAGAAAAGGCAGAGAGGAAAGGAATAAAGCGCGTCTCGTTAGCTGAGCCCTCTCCATCTGTGTTTTTGTGCTCTTCTGTCCGCAGCAGCCGACATGTGACACCATGATAAGGAGGGCATAAACTCTCCCTGCACATTCACATCCACACAATCTTCTGACACGCCCCCCTTTGGCACATAAACAACCCAAAGCCCTCTTGTCTCCATCTGCAATGCTATCTATGTTGGCTTTGTGTTTGTCTGCTGCTCTTTCCTCTTAATCTAAAAGAGAGTATCCCCTAAACATAACACACAAAAGCATTCTATGAAGCACACATACAGTTAGATTGAAAGGGGACCAGGCAGGGTTTTGGTGCCTATCCTCATGGATAAACTCATTGTAAATAGGATCTTCGACCAGGATTCCTGGCACAGTTGCACCTATCTGTGGCCTCATCGTCATGGTGACAGGAATAGAAACACAGCTTTGTGGACTTGGCTCGAGCTACTACAAACCTATTCAAGTCTTCCAAGGGTGTAAAATATTTTACACGTGTCAGAAGTAGCTCAAAGCTGTCAGTATTTGTGTGAGCTGAGGTCTTTGGGGAGGTATTTAACCTTATTTTAACCTGCACCTTTTCAGAGTCACATAGTTGGGTGTCATGTGATTCTTTTTGTGCAAAAATAGTAGGGGGGAATGCAGTAGGGGAATGCAAAGGACCCACACAGCAGTGGGCAACGTTTTCCAGCCTGCTTACAAGCTACTGTGTGGAACTTCTTTATATTTAATACACATAAATAAACATGTTGATATGCATTCATTCCTTTATTACCATCTGTTGCCAAAGTGAAAAATATTGGCAATGCTTTGTGTTTGTCGGTGTATCTTTGGTATTCACCAGAATGGCCAATTTGTCTAAATGAAAATAAACTTTAATGTAAAATTCTGAAATGAGCAATGGGATGTTTTATACATTCATTCAACAAAGGCTTGGCATTTAATTCTAAAAAGATTTTGCAGGGGTACATTTTGCACCACCATGCTCGACAAGATGGTCATTTATTTTCCGTATGTTCTTATACTATGAAGGAGTTATCTAATACATCACAAATTCAGAATACATGTTAGATGCACAAACAAACCAGTAAATAAATCACAGTCATTTTTAATAGTTTCTTTCTTTCTTTCTTTAATTGTTTATTTTTCCACTCTGCATCCTTTTGGCTGTGTTCCTCTCTTGGCAGATTATTTCACTGTGACCTGCTGGAAGTTATATTTAGCTACAGCTGCTGTGGCAGTGTCTTGTGTGGTAATGGATTTGTGTTACAAAAGAGGTGTAAGTGTGTCTGCTAATGTGCACTTGTTTTAATGACGAAAGTTGACCGGACTTGTTCAGGCTAAATGCTAACACGCTAGCTGAAATAGCGAGCAGTCATTGGTCGAAAGCCGCTGTTGAAACGCTCTGATTCGCTGAGAGACGAGTGACGTATCTGTCGTCACTTCCTCTGATGTCAGATCGTAAGGCCCACCCCGCTACTGTCTCTGATGATTGGTTGATTCAGTCACGTGACCCCGGAAATGAGTCTCGGTTCAACCGAAGCCTCCACTGTGTTTAAAATCGCTAAATGGAGCCGCCACATGTCCCACAAAACTCATGTTTCATGCAAAAAAGTCGTGCTTGTTGAAACAACGCCACGTTTAAGCTTTAAATCCGTTCAGAAATGTTGATTTGACCGAAGTTTCGCTGATGCTAATTTTAAGCTAAGCGGCTAACAACCGGATGTCAACGGAACGATCCACAGGAAGTTGTCATAGACTCCTGCTGGTATAAATAAGCTTACACCACCACCTGCTGTTGAAAGAGGAGTATAACAGTTTTCCTGAAGAGGGACTGATAAGCTCCTCACATTTTTTTTTTCTTTGCACCCAACCTGGTTTAATGAGTAACTGTTTTAAATAGCGAATTTCTGGAAAAGAACGGCTTAAGAAAGCGTTTAAAAACTAAAGTTGCTGTGAAACTTTTAGAAAAATTGCAGGTTTATTTAATGTTAAGTGCTTTAGAGTAAATATCACTGAGAAGCCTGGCTCTTGTATCTGTTTGATTTAAGCACATTAAGTAACACTGCCAGAGAGGCATTTACTTAAAAATATTCATGAATTGGGGTAAAACCTACGAATAGGTGCCCATCCATTTGAAAAAGTGGCTTACACAGTACTGTTGAGTGAACCCAGAGCTAAAAAGTGTGTGAAACTCACATGACACTTGAATACAAATATTTACCTGTTAAAATAATCTGAAGTTGGCAACTGTTTAACCAGATGAGTGCTGAACAGTGAATAACCATGGCAGGTGTAATAGAAAAGGATTTTGATCCTTGTGAGATGAAGGACTGGTTGGAGGGAGCGTTGACGCTGCTCACAGAATCCTTACATCCATATGGTGAACAGGTGGACAGCATGAACTCAAAAGAGTTTTTGGACGAGCTGAAGGAGGTTGCAGAGAGTGTGACCTCTACAGACATAACAAAGTCAAGCTATGAAAAGCTGGCTAAATTGGCGCTGTTATTGAAAGCAACATTCTATGCAGTGGTAGACAAAGCTGATGACCTTGCAATAAGGTTTAACAGCGACAGGGAGGAGTACCTCGAACACATGGCACAGTCTAACTTTGAACAGGAGACCCGTGCACATGAGGTACAACGTGACAGAGAGCTCTTACGAGCTCAGCTGTCATTACAAGCTCACTCATATGAGGAGAAGATTAGGGATAGAGAGTTTCAGTACCAAGCACTGTGTTCAGACAACGATGTGCTACGACAACAGTTGCAGCTCACATCAAAAGCTCTGAACGAATGCAGATTGGAAAATGAGACGTTAGTCCTACAAGGCGTGCGTTTACGAAGTGAATGTCAAACATCACAGGAACGCTTAAAAGCCTGTGAGGAGAAACTAGCCGCAGCAACAAATAAGATTTCTGACGTGGGGCGAGCTGGTCTGGAACTCAAAGATGAACAAGGTCAGAGTCCAGGTCACCCACAATCACCTCAGAAGGATTTTGATGCACCTCCTGCTCTTAATCCCATTCTGCCACCTCCACATGTGTGTAGAGACACACATCCACCCTTACCTCAAGTGGTAGGGACAGACCTGAACAGGTCTCCCCTACCAAGCAGGCAAGAGAGACCGTTGAAACTTCCTCTTTCAATTTCGGATTTGCATAAAATCTCAAAATATGTTCAACGCTTTGTACCTAGCCCAATGGGTTCAACTGGAACAAAAGCGTATCTGAATGACCTTGAATTCAGACTGAGTGGTTATCCTAATGCTACGGTTGAGGATAAAATCAGTTTGATAAGGCTCACTTCAGACAGAGAGGTGTTCACCTTCATCGAGCGTCAACCTGATGCCACGAGGAGGGATTACAACCTTCTGTGTGAAGCTTTGATCAGGGAGTACGACCCCTGCACAGGACCTGCTGGTTTCCCAGCTGCTGACAAGGTCACGCAAGGCAAGCATGAACATCCAAAGGTTTATTACAAAAGAATCTTCCAAGCTTATTTTGGTTACAGAAATTAAACCGGAATGGAGGAAGAAGAAGGTTTTAAATTTGTTTTCAGCAAAAATCTCCACACTGACATTAAATTGTCAATACAAATGATGGCAAATTTCAAAGAAAAATCCATCAATGAGATTAAACAGTGTGCTGTGAATGTGTTTGAGGCATGTTCTCATGCTAAGACGCCCATAGAAGTGTTTCCTGGAGTAAAGGTTAAACCCCACTCGCTAGAATTGGAAGGACGGCGTGCATCGCCTCCCCCTCCTAAGAAAGGCGATAAAAAGCAGTCTTTTCAAACTAACAAACCGCGTCATGAAGGTGCACGCTGGGACAAAAAAGCTCCTCTTTCAGAGGATGAACGTGATTATCGTAAATGGGGTGTGCGTAGGACGCAAAGATATGGGAACCAATGTGACCCATATTATCAGGGGAAGTCCGAAAAGGAACCCCCAAAAGACGTACCTAACCGTCCCCCACCTCGGACGAAACGAACCGAGGCGAAAAAATCACAAAGGTTCCAGAAACAAGGCCCTACACCTCTGAGCTCGGAAGAGACAGAGAAACTACGCAGGTTGTTAGAAACTTTGAAACACACTGACACGGGAAACCAACCTGGAGCACTATGCAGTGATGTAATCACTATTACATCTGAGGGCGCGAATGACAACATCACAGATGTCGGTGAAACACACCAAGACATTGTTGTTGTTGCCTCTAACAACCCCTCATCGGAAGAAGGGGGGGGTAAACTCACATACAAACGATGACGAGTCATCGCAAGCTGAACACTCAAGGACAGCCTAACTTTAGCTCATGGAGCGACGTCCTCACCCGTGTTCGCGGTCTCCCATGACCGAAGGGGGGTGACGCCAGTTAGGGTAATGTTACCAGACGCGATAACGTGATCAAATCTGACATTCAGAGTGAGTGACGCACCGAAACGTCGTTTTCTAGTTGCTAAATCACTACTTTTGTCAATGTTGAAACGTTGTTTTTCTAGTTGCTTAGTCACTGTTTTTGTCAATGTTGAGACATCGTTTAATTGGTTTTTGGTATTGTTTCTGAACACCCCAAGCAAGAATGAATTTTGTGTGTAGTTAAGTTAGAGACTAAGAGGCCTTTAACTATGCCAACATGCAGTTCATTTGTTAAAATGTAATCTTTGCGGAGTCAATGTAGATTAATGCTACCTTAAGTACCATAATCTACATTGGTCTCACAACGCTTAAGCCGAACCTACTCGAACAATTCTATTCGGGGGG